TCGGCCACCATACACCTGCCATCTCTTCTGAGAGCAAAAGTGATGCCCTCTTTCTGGAATGGAAGTAGGTTCGCTCTTAGTTTGTCAGGCAACATATCCAGCTGTTTATAAGATTCACTTGCTAAACAAGAAATCTGAGATGCAAGAGGCTTTTTTGTGTTTTGAACTTGAGGCATGATGATCCTGGTGTATCCGCGGCAGAATCTCCAACTCCCCAAGAATTTCTCAAAAACAAATTCCCAGGTCTCATCTCAGACTAACTACATCAGCATCTCTAGGAAGCCAGGACTAGAGACTAGGAAGCTGTGTTTCTAGCAGAAGCCACAGGGAGCTGTGATCATCAGAAGTTTTAGGAAGCCCCCCTCTGGAAGTGAAGCCGGCTGATCATCAGCAGTGCTGGGGAGCTCTGAAAAACGCAGGTGCCCAGGACCCAGCCAAGATTCTGATGGGTCCCCAGAATCTGAATTTTCTTTATTTTTCTAGACTTTCCTAGGGATTCTGATGTAGCCATTTCAGGGGCTTGCCTTTGGAAACCACTGGGCTGGAAGATTTAAGGAGATTTCTTGCTCTGACAACCTAATAAGGGAATTTGGGACTACAATGCCACAACTACAGCCTGCAGACTTGCTTTTGTTTGTCAACCTGGGTGGGGGTTCTTTCAGCTGCCACAAATATTGAATCAATCACCAGTGTTTTAGAATCACATGATCTTATACAAAAATCTCAGTTTTCAGCTTTCCTTGAAAAATCTATCATCCATACACATCAGGCCTAAATTCCTACCTGGCAGAAGGCACTAGAGTCAAGCAGTGAACCCTTCCAGGAGAGGGCTATGCTCACTGAGATGTCACCAGTCCTCCCTATCATTTCCCAACCCTGAGGATGAGTGTGGACAGCCCACTGGCATCGGGCTCTGTTTTTTCTCACTCAGTAAAGAACTGACTCTCTAACAAAAATGGAAAAACAAGAGATTTCAAGAAAAATGTGTCTCCCTACCAGACTTTTTCGCTCATTTATGTTACCTACCTGGTGCATGGCATTTGGTATGTGACTCTGGGTTACTAATCGTGAGGGAGCATTAATTGCTCCAAAGTCCAGGAAAATGTATGAGACATCATGCTTGCCTTTGAAACAGCAGCATGGGGACAGGGCACCCAGACCCACCCCACCCCGGCACGGTCCTGAAGAGGCTGAAGCAAGGGGAGGGGACACACCATGGAAAGACTAGGATGAAGAAAAGCTTCAGCAAGGAGGATACACTTGAGATGTCACTTGACTTGTGGGTACAAACTCAACTATGGAGATAAGGAGGACATCTGGGAAGCAGGCACCATGTGGTAGTCCCTCAGAGATGTGGGGGAAAGGTAGAAGTGAGAACCAGCATCTGGAAGTGAATCTCAGCCAGGCATATGTTTTGTGAAGTGAGACACAAAGGAGTGACAAAACAATGCAATGTCAACCAGGCACAGTGGCTCACCCCTATAATCCTAGCATTTTGGAAGGCCAAGGCAAGTAAATAACCTGAGCTCAGGAGTTGGAGACCAGCCTGCGCAACAGCAAGAGCCCATCTCTAAAAATTAATCAGGTGTTGTTGCAGACTCCTATAGTCCCAGTTACTTGGGAGACTGAGGCCAGAGGATGGCTTGAGCCCAAGAATTTGAGGTTGCTGTGAGCTATGATCCACAGCACTCTACCCTGGGTGACAAAGTGAAAAAAAAAAAGTACTGTCAAGAGGCATTTGAAAGTAGCAAGACGGGGGTCCCAACTGGGCCACTTAATAGTTATATGACCTGGGTCATTTCATATGTCTGAGTTCCAATTTCCACTTCTGCTCAGAGAATCCAGGCCAGAAAACAGGAGTAATGGAGCCTATCTTGAGGTGGTGAAAATGACAAAGAGATGGAAAGACAATAGCTACAACTCCAAGGCTTTGTTTAAGTGAGTACTGACGGCTCGGCGCCTATAGCTCAACCGGCTAAGGCGCCAGCCACGTACACCTAAGGTGGCAGGTTCAAATCCCCAGCCCGGACCCGCCAAACAACAATGACGGCTACAACCAAAAAATAGCCGGGCGTTGTGGTGGGCACCTGTGGTCCCAGCTACTTGGGAGGCGGAGGCAGGAGACTCGCTTGAGCCCAGGAGTTGGAGGTTGCTGTGAGCTGTAATGCCACGGCACTCTACCCAGGGGGACAGCTTGAGGCTCTGTCTCAAAAAAAAAAAAGTGAGTACTGACATTGGCTCCAGGTGGTGGAGAATCACAGCCAATCAGCTAACGAGCTGAAGGTCATCCTCAAATGCATGTGGTTGGGGAAGGGAGCACCTATGTGACTAAGGAATTAACCTCTGAGGAGAAATGGCCCCAAGAGCTTGAAAAAGTGTCCCTGGGGAAGGACTCATATGTCCAGGGATGTACATTCTGATTAAGAATCCCTGTTCCAGACTTTGGGCAAATACTGCAAGACAGAAATTTGAGGCGACTTACAAAGAAGCATCCTATGAAGTTCAGAAATGTGAACAGGGTTAAGCAGAGCTCTCCTGCAGGTAAAAAGTATTCAGATTAGTGTTCTCTAGAGCTGACTGCCTGAATTTGAATCCCAGCTCTGCTACCCAAAGCTGTGAGACCATGGGTGAATTATGCAACCACTCAGAATCTCAGCTCCTCCATCTGTAAAACAGCAATGATATTAACTATAACTACTCTCTTTTGCTGTGAGAATTAAATGAGTTAGTACATAAATGCTTACAACAATAGTTGTCACATGGCAAATGTGAGCTAATTGAAAATTAGCAAGAAAAGTTCTAAAGTATTCTTAGTTATTTCTTTTTTTTTTCTTTGAGACAGAGCCTCAAGCTGCCCCCTGGGTAGAGTGCCATGGCATCACAACTCACAGCAACCTCCAACTCCTGGGCTCAAGCGAGTCTCTTGCCTTAGCCTCCCAAGTAGCTGGAACCACAGGTGCCCGCCACAGTGCCTGGCTATGTTTTGGCTGCAACTGTCATTGTTGTTTGGCAGGTCCAGGCTGGATTCAAACCTGCCACCTTAGGTGTATGTGGCTGGCGCCTTAGCCACTTGAGCCACAGGCGCCGAGCCTTAGTTATTTCTTCAAAACCTCATTTTATCTCTTTGCCTAATGGCTTAATAAAATATTTGTAGGTGGCGCCTGTGGCTTAAAGAAGTAGGGCACTGGCCCCATATGCCAGAGGTGGCAGGTTCAAACCCAGACCAGCCAAAAACTGCAAAAAAAAAAATTTTATATATATATATACATATACAAAGAAGAAGAGGCTCAGGCCTGTAGCTCAGCAGCTTGGGCGCTAGCCACATACACCGGAGTTGGCAGGTTCAAACCCAGTCCAGGCCTGCCAAACAACAATGTAACCTACAACCAAAAAATAGCCCAGTGTTGTGGTGGGCACCTGTAGTCCCAGCTACTTGGGAGAGTGAGGCAACAGAATCGCTTAAGCCCAAGAGTTTGAGGTTGCTGTGAGCTGTGATGCCACAGCAGTCTACCAAGGGCAACACAGTGAAACTCTGTCTCAAAACAAATAAATAAAAATAAAGAATTATAGGATGTTGCCACTTATATTGCAATAATTTTTATTTTCTTACTCTGTTCAGCATTAATTTTTTTATAAGGAACATGTATTGTTCTGCAACTAAAGTATTTTTATCCAGGTGTGGTGGCTCACACCTATAAGTCCAGCACTTTGAGAAATGAGAGGAGGCCAGAAGTTTGAGACCAGCCTGGGCAACAGTATGAGAATCCTGTTTCTCAAAAAAATAAAAGATTAGCCAGGCATAGCAGGGCACAGTGGCTCATGCCTATAATTCTAGCATCTGGGAGGCCGAGGCAGGCAGATTGCTTGAGCTCAGGAGTTTGAGACTAGCCTGAACAAGAGCAAGACCCCATCTCTACTAAAAATAGAAAAACTGAGGCAAGAAGATCACTTGAGCCCAAGAGTTTGAGGTTGCTGTGAGCTACAGCACTCTACTGAGGGTACTAGAGTGAGACTCTGTCTCAAAAAAAAAAAAAGAAAAAAATTAGCCAGGCATGCATGCCTATAGCCCCAGCATCTTGGCATCCAGAAAGGGGAGAATTGCTTGAGCTCAGGAGTTCGAGGCTGCAGTGAGCTATGATCTCACCATTGCATTCCAATCTGGGTGACAGAGCAAGATCCTGCCTCTAAAAAAAATAAAATAAAAATGTTTAGCAGAAGGGGTGAATTAAAAACTTTCTTTCGCTGTCACCTATAATTGACCTTCTTAAGAGATGTTAGTGGCTAAAACTAGCGCCTCTCAGTGCCAGCAAGTGGTAATTGCAGGTTCCAGTGTCTTGACAGGTAAGTACTTGCATCAGAGCTAAAGCTGCCAAGCTAAACCCACAGTGGGATGGCAGCAGGTGCCTGTCAGCAGGAATGCCAGCAGTTCTTGGCTGAGGTCTATTCTGCCTAGTCAGGAGGTCTGTTCTGACTGGACTGAGCTCCTGCCACCCTGGGTGCTAAATACTTTGCACATCACCTCTACAAGACAGAACTGTCACTTTGGAGATTCTGCCAAAGAAATGCCAACATTATGTTTACCCTCACCTCCTTATTAAGAACCTGAGTTACAATCCCGCCCTTCAGATGACCTGCAGCTCATGCCAAGGAATGGTAGTGTGTGCTTCACACACATACTCCCCGCAGGTCCTCCACATGTCTTGGTGTGCACAGCAGTACACACACATAGGGCTGGCATGCGCAGTAGAGCATGGGGGCTGCAGGGAGACACAACTGGGCCCCCGTTCCAGCAACCGTGGCAAGTCCTTGGGTTTGTCACAGGTGGAGAAAAAGTCAGGATGTATTTCCTAAAAGTCAGCCCACACTGTGCCATCTGGTCTCAAAGAAGGGGACATTCAGTGGGAAGAGCCCCAGGTTGGGATCCTAGGGCTCCCAAGACAAGACCAAAAGGTCAGCAGCCTCCAGGTCAGGAATCCTGAGTGAGTGCAGAATGGGGAGGGCCGTACACTAGAGACAGACACTCCATCAGGGAGGTCGTGCCCATATTAGATGGGGAATGGTGCCTGCCTGCCTCTATTCCCAAAAGGCAGGTCTAAGTTGTAGGATTCACCAAGGACTTGCTAAACCCACTGGGTCTACCTGGCAGACTAATTAAAATAATGGCCACTACATAGTAATCACTCTGTCCTGTACTAAGCAAAGGCATTTAGTATCTCACTTAATCTTAAAAAGAATCCTACCAGCTTACCCCCTTCACCATGGCCCATTCTTGCCAGAACTGCCAAGAGGCCTGGACCTAAATTCAGGCTCCCAGCAGCTGCTGGGGGAACAATTTTCCTGCTCCCTCATTCCTATCACTTGGCTCATCCTCTTTGAACCCCAGCACTGGACAGTGGGAAAACACTGGTTTCATGGAGGCAACCCAGGAGTCTGGTCCTAGTGAGTCACTCTACTCTCTGAGCCTGTTTCCTCATCTATGAGGAAAGGACTTCCTATCATCTGCCTTACAGGGTCTGATGTTGAGATGATAAGAAATTAGAACAGGCGAGGCTGGCGCATAGTAGGTGCTCCTAAATGTTCACTTTCTCTCTATTCCCTGCCCATGGCTGCTAGAACAAACCTCCCTAAAACACTTCATGAGCTGCTCCTCTCAATGTTTAAATGCCCCCCACATTCCAGCCCAGAAGCTTTTCCTCCACAATCCCTCTACTGGGGAGGCAGGTCGATCCCCATCTCAGTAAGCAGGCCTAACTGGGTCTTGGACTGAGCCTCCCCTGGGACGCCCTCACACCCTGCACGCTCTTCCAGCCCATCCAGAGTTCATTATCCTTCAGTCCAGCCGCAGGCCCCTCCCCCCTCCAAGCTTTCCATTCGCCGGGCCTGCATGGGCTCTTCTCTCTGTCCACCAGCCCCAGCAGACCCTAAGCTTCCTGAGCACCCGGCCAGGGGTCTCCTACACCCTCCGCTGCTCCAAGCGCGCGGATGCCCAACAGGTCGCGACCGAACAAGAGTCTGGACGCGGGCCAGAGGCTCGTCGAAGGCCGGCCGGGCCAGGCAGGGAGTTATCCCGGGCAGGGGAAAGAAGCTTCTGCTCCCGGCTCCGCTCCCGGCGTCTTCGCACTTGGGGGAGGGACAGGCAGGAAGTGCAATGGCCTCGCAAGACCCGGCCCCTAAACCACCGAGGGCCGCGCCGGGCGTCCAGACGCGCTGGCCCGGGACTGGGGACCGGGGGCGCGGCGAGGGAACCGTGTAGTCCTGCGACCTGGCGCGGGAGCCCGCAGCGTCCCGGCCAGCCCGCTTCCCAGGCAAGCCATACACACTCAGGAGGCAGGTCCTCGACGGGCACACAGCGCTCCGCGCAGCCCCTCGGACCAGAGTTCAGAAAGCGATGCTCCTACTGCTGCACCCGAGGTGGGCAAACTGGGGCCCAAAGTGCAGAAGAGACTTATTCCAGGCGACAGGCAGGATCCATAGCTGAGTCTGGAGTTGGGGAAGGTTCCCTAGAGACGCAGTTTCGCCCCCCTAGTCGGAACGAGCCCACCCGAGTCCCTAACAGCAGGGGAGTGGGGGACGCAACTAGCTTCAGGAGAAGCCGGGCAGAAGCGAGGTCCGCAAAAGTGAGACGCGGGTAAACCGCAGCTGGGCGAGGGGTGGGGTGGCAGGGCAGGGCAGGTCGGGCAGGGGTAGCCACCCACCTGGTGCGAGTCTCGAGGAGCCAAGCTCCAGAGCGTAGAGAAGCAGGAGGAGGCGCCACAGCGGCGCGGGGCTGCGGGGACGCGAGCCGCCGGGCATGGCCGGAGCCCGGGGGCCGCCGGGCGACCCTGCGCTCACGCTCTTATCTGTCCCGTTCGGTTGCTGCTCGGTCCCGGGTCCGGCTCAGTACATGCCCAGCCCGCGTGCAGCTCCCGGCGTCCCAGCCCCGACTCCGGCCCAGTGGACGGCTGCACTCAGTCCGCGGGCAACAAAGGCTGCAGGGCCCGCCCCCTCGGCCGGCGGCGGAGGCAAAGAAAACTGGAGACAGGCAGAAGGAGAGAAAGAAAGAAAGGGGCGACGGAGGGAGGGGGGAGCGCGCCGCCGCCCCGCCCATCGGGCTCCTTGCCCCGCCCCCGGGCCGGCCCTAAGCCCGCCAGGCTCGCCCCTCCCTCGTGAGCGTCCTCCCCTGCATTGCGGCGGTCCGCAGCTCGAGGGGCGGGGCCCGGGCCTGGCTCCCGCAGCGCCCCCCGACGGACGTCCGACGCCCATTGGGCCGAGAGCGCCCCCTGGCGGCCGAGGCCACTCAAGCCCTCTTGACCCGGGTACCCCAAAGCTCCTCAAAGAAGCTGGGATTTCCAGAATTTCTGCCTTGTCCCTAAGCCGATCTCCAGGAGGCGCCCTTCGCTTTGCTCTCCGGCTAGGCAAGTCTGCCCCTCAAAAGAGGAGACACGGAGCCTCCTGAGGGCCCAGGGTCACTCAACAGGGCAGCTGGGCCACGCTTCCCCTAGATCCAGAGGTAGATTCTGCCTCGAAGCTCTAAAGAGAGGTCTTCCCTGAATGGGCAGTCGTTTCCTACTCAAGGCAGAGTCTCTGGACTCCTTTCCTGGTGGCTGTCTGTTTGGAGCAGAGTAGAGTTCAGCTCACAGCTGGGGAGTGCAGCCTCACCCAGGCCAGAGCCCACAGGCTTTCAGCAGGGGCCCCAAGAGCCTGCAGGCTGGCCAAGCCCGGTCTCACACACGGACCCTCTGTCCCCACCCCTGGCTCTGGCTTCCTGCTCCCCTTCCCCTTATGCTCCCAGGAGCCCCCTCCGAGGAGTACTCCCACTCCCTACCTCCTGCCTTCACTAAACCTGGTCCTGAGGACGTCCACCTTGTCCCTCAGGACCATTTTGGTCAGCTTCCTCTGAGGCCCAGGCCACACTTTCTCACGGTCCAGTCTTCTGTGCACTCTCCCTCACCTCTGGAGCCTCACTTCTTCTGGCTCTCTCTCCACCCCAAACCCTGCTATCCCCCTGGGGACCTGCGCTGCATGTGGCCACCCACCGCCTCCATCTCATCTCCAGTGATCTTCCACTTCACCTCAGCGGCCAGTTCTCTTGGCCACAGTCTAGACTGTGTCATCCTTCATCAGAGCTGACACCCCTGGGAAATTTGAAGATCAGAGGCCCTAGTTTCACAACCACACTCTGTATTGTTCTTCCCCAGTCCCCCATCACCTTCCTCTTCTCCCCACCTGCCAGCTCCCCCCAGCTTCCCCTACTTCCCTCCCTAGCTACATGCACTGCTTGATCCCTGCCCTACCCAACCACCTACCATTTTTCCTGTGCCCCTCACAGCAGCTGGTCTTGTTGCCCAATGACAGGGACAATTCAAAGTGCTACATCCTACCCTCACCCCACCATGAGCAGGTGTCTAAACTGGCATCCACCCAGTTTCCTTCACTCTGGACACAATGGAACAGGCATTGTCCCAGATGGAAACAAAGGGTCCCAACAGAGTTCTGTGGTTGTCTCCCCTCCTTACTCCCCAGGGGACTTGCTCCAAGTGTCAGTCACTTTCCTTAGTTTCCACGGGATATTTTAGTCCTCTGTCTAAAAACATTCTCTAGTCCTAGCACTGTGGGAGGCCAAGGTGGGAGGATTAATTGAGCCAGGAATTCAAAACTAGCCTGAGCAACATAGAAGACCCTGTTTCTTTAAAAAGTTAAAAAAAAAAAAATTCAAAAAGATACTGATAATATCCTTCCACAGACTGGGATCAACTCTACTTCTAACCCCTCATATCTGCTCCCTTTCTCAGTCTAACTGGCCCAGAGGGATGTCCAGATTCCTCTTTTTCCCTTTTGTACCTCAGGCTGGGCCCTCCTCCATCCCGGTCTTGGTATCAGAGCCATAGTCCTTTTCCACCTAGATGGCCCAGTGTGTTCTAGAGATTCCCTCCCTGTCTACACACCTGAGCTCTGCCCTCATCACTGGCCAATCTTTTCATACCACAAATACTGAGTATCCACACAGACCCAGGGGCCTGGGGACACAGCTGTGAACAGATGGGCAAGGACTCTGTTCTCTCAAGCTCCCATTGTGGAGGAGGTCACAGGCAACAAGCAAATAGACAGGTGTATAAACAAGGCCAGCTACTGAGAGGGGCTTTGAAGGAAATTAATTTAGGAATGACAAAGAGTCTACTTTCCATGGGGCCGTTAGGGAAAGCCTTCCTGAAGAGGTGACATTTGAGCTGTGGGACCAGAGTGACAAGAAGGAGCAAGTCATGTGAAGGTGAAAGAGAAGATGAGCACAAACTTGGTGTCCCTGAGACTTATCCTTTCAGGGCTAGCTTATATGTTACTCCTTCCAGAAAGTCTTCCCTGACCTCTTTCTCAGGGTTCCCTCAGTGTACTTTGCCACCTCCACCAAACTGCTATGTCTGTTTGTGGATTTATCAACTCTAACACACTGTGAGATGCTGAGGTCATATCTGACTGCTCTTTGTGATCCCTTGTTTCTTTGGCAAACTGCAAAACCCAAACAAGCAATATCTAAGCCTTTCTGAAATGTAGCCTTAGAACTTGTGTTTTCAAACACCGCAGCTGACAATACTTCTTACTTGCTTCCTCCAGTGTCCTGGTCTTTGCTCTGTCCACACTCTTCAGGGTGCCTTTATAACCTCCTCCAGAGCCACACTAGACTCCATGGGGTACGAAAGAATGATAAGGCTCAGTCCTGCCCTCTCCAGGCAAATAATAATCCAACTGGAAAAATGAGACCAGCCAACTCCAAACATTGGGGGGCAAAGTTTACTTTTTAAATAAAGCAAGAGATTTGATATTTTAATATGTTTGATGTCATTCATTGTTCAGAATGTCAAGTATCCAATTAGTTGAGTTTTTCCCTCATATCTTGATAGAAATTCTTTCATTTCTTTCTTTCTTTCTTTTTTTTTTTTTTTGAGACAGAGTCTTAAGCTGTCGCCCTGGGTAAAGTGCTGTGGTATCATAGTTCACAGCAACCTCCAACTCATGCTCAAGCGATCCTCTTGTTTCAGTCTTTCTATTTTTAGTAGAGACGGGGTCTAACTTTTGCTCAAGCTGGTCTCAAACTTGTGAGCTCAAGCAATCCACCCTCCTCGGCCTCCCAGAGTGCTAGGATTACAAGTGTGAGCCTATTTCATTTATTTTTTTTTCTTTTCTTTTTTATTAAATCATAGCTGTGTACATTAATGCAGTCATGGGGTACAGTGTGCTGGTTCTATATACAATCAGAAATCATTTATTTCTTAAATAATTGTTATGTTTTATGACCCAACATCTCCAGTAAGAGTTAATGTAGCTAAAATATTATCAAAAGCAGATCAAAATTTAAAAAGAAACTATATTGTTTCTAAATATCATTTTTATAATGATAGATTGCTTAAAGGGTAAGAAAGTACAGCTGAATGCTCTGTATTTAAAATTATAAATTAATAGATAACAATGAAAAATTAGGTACACAGGCTTGGCGCCTGTGGCTCAAGCAGCTAAGGGGCCAACCATGTACACCTAAGGTGGTGGGTTCGAATCCCCAGCCCGGGCCCGCCAAACAAAAATGATGGCTGCAACCAAAAAATGGCCAGGCGTTGTGGCGGGCGCCTGTGGTCCCAGCTACTTGGGAGGCTGAGGCAGGAGACTCACTTGAGCCCAGAAGTTGGAGGTTGCTGTGAGCATGATGCCATGGCACTCTACCCAGGGGGACAGCTTGAGGCTCCATCTCAAAAAAAAAAAAAGAAACATTAGGTACACAATTTTAGAAAATAAAATAAAACCTCTCTGGGCTTCAATTGTGTTATTTGTCTAATGGAGATGGTGATTCCCACTCCCCTATCTCACAGGTTGTCTAGAGCATGGTTCTAAACCAGGGGAGATTTTGCCTCTATGGAATTTTGCAATGTCTGGAAACATTTTTGGTTGTCACGACAAGGAAGAGGGTGCTAGTGGCATCTAGTGGATAGAGGCCAGGGATGCTGTTAAATGACAGCCACCTGCAACAAAGAATTACCCAGCCCCAAAGTCATTGGTGGCAAGGTTGAGAAACCCTAGTCTACAGTATTAAAGAAGGAGTTTGAAGGCACTTTGCAGAGTAAAAGCCTTTACATTTCATTTTGTGTTTTATAGTAAAACAGTCCAGGATAACAATTCAAACTGCAGCCAGGGGCGGTGGCTTGCTCCTATAGTCCTAGCTACTAAGGAGGATAAGATGGAAGGGTGGCTTGAAGCTAGGAGTTTATGACCAGCCTGGGTGATATAGCAAGACCTCATCTCAAAAACAAACTTTGCAAACATCCAAAATTCTTCCCCCTGAAACCTGACCCCCAGTTCCTCAATGTACCTTCCTCGGGATATTACTATTTCAGTTTCTCTTGAGAACTTCCAGAAAAATTTTATGCAAGCACAAAGACACACTTTATACACTATATATGCTAGCATATATACGCTCTACCTGGTTTTTTCCACATTTATGATATAGCTTGGAGATGGCTCCATATCCTTGGTTTTGAATCTGCTACAGGCCTTGAACAGCTATAGGACATACCAGAATGTGAGCTCTGTGAGAACAGGGAATCTTTGTTTCACTCAGTAATGTATCCTAAGCACTTAGAACAGTGGCTGACATGAAATGCATGTTCAATAGCTATTTTCAGTATTCAAATAGATGTTGCATAATTGATATTCCTTTATAATATGTGCTACTATCTCATCTCCTAGAGATGAGCATTTAAGTTGTTTCCAGTCCCTTGCTGTGACTGTCCACCATGCGTACATGTGAGTATATCTGCAGAATAAAGTCCTTGAACTGGGATTGCTATCAAAGGTATGTGCATTTGTAACTTCGATAGACAGGTTATCACCAAATTAAAGGCATTATTTTAGGTAGGTCCCTTTCACTCCAGGAGATTGAGCTGAGTAAGAGCTGGCTTTGAGAAAGCACAAGATGATTGGCTTAGAATGGGCTGCTGAGCTGCCACCATGGGAG